TGGCCCCATAATCTTCTTGATCAGAAAATTTGGGACACTACCGAGGTACATGACGTTACAGTACAAGTTCTCATATGTTCTGAGTCTTAATTGACCTTAGAAGGCTAGGGCCAAGTTATTTATTTATTAATTATGTTTTTAGTACAGGGTCTACAGGGTCTCACTACATAGATCAGACTCATAGTGATTCTCCTGTTTTCAGCCTCTCACCTCTGGGATTACGGGTGTGCACTACTACACCCAGTCTCAATCGCAGTCTCAGCGTGCCCCGGGGTGGGGCCAGCACGGCATGCTGGGTATTGAACCTCTGTCCCTGTGTCTGCCTAAGCAGGTGCTTTAATCTGCCGTGCTATCAGGCCGGCCCAAGTCATGTGACACTGGAAAGCACAAGGCAGAGACAAAATTGTTCAGAAACCCATGTATATTTGCTTAATTAAATAGCAAACAAATAAAATTCAGTTCACTCCTGCTTTATTTGTTGTGTGTTTTGGGCCTCGGCCCGCAGACAGATTCTGTCAAATAACTACTTCTCAAGTCCTAAAAGCAGCTTTTTTCCCATCTTATTTTATCTTTTTAAAGATGGATCAGAGAATAACTTGGGCAGTCAAAGAATGTTCTGGAGCCTACGACTTACCTGTTCTGCCAACTGCTGTCTTCTGAGCCGATAGCTCCCCAGAGATACAACTGATGACAACTTGATAAAGTCGTCCAGGGGACAGGTCTTTAAAGTCAGTTTCAGTAACCTGAGGTGCTAATATTCTGGAGTCTTTGATAATTCCTTGGTGAGTCAGGGTGACATTGTAGGCGTCTATAGTTCCAGGAGGTCTTTGCCACTTCACTGTTAGAGAGGTTAGACTGCCATCATTTGTCACTCTCAAATTTGAGACTTCCATGGGGGCTAAGTAGCAAAGAATGGAAAAGAGATTTCACTCAGGATTCCTTATCGGTTTTGTGGCTAAAGTTTGACCAATATTTATTGCCTGCAAGCCCTACTCATTCATCCAGAGATTAATGCGAACAGTTTGAAAGACAAAAATAATAACCATAAAACTACAAAATAATATTTTAAAACTAAAGAAGCCTGTCTGGCTCACAGGAAGAGCCTAACCCTGTCAGTCAGGAGCCTGGCCAGCTCTCCACAGGACTGTGGACAACTCTACCTCACAGCGTGGTGTTCCTTATAGGCAAACGAAAGGCTTCAAATGGCCCTTTATAATTCTGAAATTCTTTTCGTAGGATGTACAAAGAGGTCTGTCAAAATATTTTCTCATCTTAGTATACAGTTATGTTAGATATGTATAATAGCAACAATATAATAGATTTATTAATTTTTTATATCAAAATATTTTCTTTACATGAAGTCATGATAAATGTAAAGAATTGTGTTACTGTTTCACCACACGAGAAGTGGTGACAAAGGAGAGGCACTGACGAATGTTTTTCTTCCTCTTACACATGTTGTGATAGTTAAAGCACAGTGATCTTTCTTAGGGCTGTTAGAAGTGTAAATTGGTCCTGGTACCTATAACAATTCTTAAGAGTACATGTACATTTTCCAGAATATTAGCACTTCATGGATATTCCTTTGAGGAATGTTATAAAAGGTAACATAAATGTACAGTTACCATCAATATAATATGATATTGTGATATTTTGATAATATGATATTTTGATTTCTCGTCAGCCTCTTATTGTTTAAGACTTTCCATTACATTAATTGACTAGGTGCCAAATATTTTAGAGTTTATCTTAAAATTAGATAACTTATTTATAAAGTGGATCTGTTAGCATAGAAGACCTACTAAAATTGTTTGAATCTATTAGAACATAAGATCTGTGAGAGCAAAAACTTTTTTTTTTTTTTTTTTTTGCGGAACCGGTGATTGAACTCAGGCCCTTATGCTTGCAAGGCAAGCACTTATTCTACTGAGCCATCTCCCTGGCCAATTTTGTGTTTTGAATGTTGTTATATCAGCAATTCCTCGAATATAGCTTACATTCAATAAGTATTGGTTGAATAAGTGAATACATGTATGAATGATTTATCAATACTTAGCAGACTATTTTAGGAGTCTGGTTTAGGCTGAGATAATAGGTATTTTGTTATTCAGTCTTAGGATATATTTTTTGGACAGAGGGTTTTGGAAATGGCTGTCATGTCAAGTAGGTCTACATACAGCACCCAGAATAGTGACCCTCATGTGAGAAATGTTTCAGAGAAGAAAGTAGAAATTCTTAACAAGGAAGTTGGAGTAGTAAAAAAGGAGAAGCGGGATCCATATCAGCAACTAAGTTTGTCTACTTCAAAATGTTGCCAAAGGCTAACTTGAATTCCAGAATAAAATGAAACCCTTCCTTTTCTGCATAGAAAAGTGGAACTATACGGTCTTTCTACAACTGATACAAATTTCAGTGACCACTATCCCAATAACTTAATAAATTTGATTCACATTGCTTTGAGCTGTATTCTTTTTGTTCAATGAGAGAGAAGCAGCTTACCTGTCCTGACTAGTTTCCACCGGTAATTGTGCAGCCCCGCAGCCATGGTCACAATGGTGAGGTTGTAGAGGCGTCCAGGTGTCAGCCCATGGAAAGTGTACGAAGTATCACGTCTGTCCACGATACTGTCATGAACTAGGATATCTTTATCTACTAACATCAGCCTGTATTGCTCCACATTCCCAGAACCATGGGACCAGGCAACCAGAAGAGAATTTGTTTTTCTGGAAATGTCAATATCTTTTACTGGAGAAGGCACTAGTGGGACAAAATGCGTGTCCAAATGTTATTCATTAATTTCCTCATAGGAGATGAAGAAATAGTCATCGGTCACAACCCATTGAGGCTTCTTCATAGATTTTAACTTGTTTAATAGCAATAATGAATAATAGCAATCTTTATATTTTATAGAATCTTCATTAGTGATCTTTTCAAAAGTCACAGCTTAAAGCTACATTGATTCACCTATCTTTTCCTCCTTCTTAGTAGGTTTTAAGTTAGTTGTTTCCAATGCAGTACAACATGGCATTGCAATAAATAGAAAAGACAAAGAGAAGAACTGAAAGGGATTAAAAAAAGTGTGAAGAGAGGTAGTTAAAACAAGAGAAAAAAAGGGAAGAATACATGACACAAAAGACGTGTATTTTTGTGGAAGGAGGTAAAAATATGATGTGGGCATCGCAGTGATACATGAGTATACTGGATGACTTATTTTTCACCATGTCAAGGGAGAAAAGACTTATTTCAAACTGGAATATTTAGAAAACAGCATGACTTGATGTGATGAGAAGAATGCACTGCAGAGAAGAACACCGATGAAATAAGTTTTACTGCACAAACATAAAAGGTGAGGAACAGAATCTTGCTTTCCAGGGTTTGAATTAGAAGGACCATCAGGGAGCATCCACTTCAAACTGGAGGGAACTCGAGGTCCAGGGAAGGACTTGTTCCAAATCACTGGACAAGTAGATGGCAGAGCCCCAGCCCTGCATCTGTCTAGACTTTCATGTATACCTCACGACTGCCTTTTAAGAGGTTAGTGAGTTTATTTATCTGTTTGTAGTCTGGGGACAGTCTGACTTCCACGCCTTGAGTAGCATAGCTCTGCACCTGTGTCACAGATTGCTAACTGTAGACAACACAGGCCTTACTTACCTGTTGATGCATTGGTGTAAACTGTAGAGGAACTTCTATTTCCAGAAACAGCTGTGATGGCAATATTGTAATGACGGCCAGCAGTGAGGTTTAAAAAAGTGTATTCGTTCTGTGAAGTCCTTTCTTGACTCTGGACCCTTTGTATCGTTTTGCTGTTATCATCCAATATCTGCACCTCGTACCAGGTGACTTTGCCAGGAGAATGAGTCCACCAAACCTGAAAGCTGTTTGTAGTAATTGTCTCTTTCTTCACCTCAAATCTAGCAGGAGGCAAAGGATCTGCAAAGCAAGTGTCAAGAAAGAGAACACAGATTGAAGTCCTTTGCAAATAAGTACATATGGTTCTACAATCCAGATTCATTTCCCTTCAGAGCTTAAAGAATCTTCTGCTGGGAATATGAACATCTGGTTTCCTGTCCAAACCTACCATTTTACTTAAAAAAAAAGCAAAACATTTAGCTATCACTCACGTGAATTCCTTTTTCTAATACAATTTTATTAAGGCAGCTCTGACTTTAAATTTCAAACAAGGTTGTATTTTCTTTGGTTTGCACATTCAGCAAACTTCAGACACTGACAAACATCAAAGGTGTGCCTTGATAGATACAAAAGATTTAAACAGAAAAATGCAGATATTAAAAGATAATTTGGAATTCAAACCGCACTTTTTCCTAGGTTGTTTATTGTTGGTGTCATGCATACCTAACTTTGGATGGTTTTTAGCTGTTAAACAACTTTGATTATTATCTTAAGGAAGGATTTCTTTTTTTTTTTGCTTTTTGGCTGGCTCAGGATGCCTTAAGGGCAGGCATAAGGAGCTGGGGATCAAACCGCAGTATCGTGAACCTGACTACATTTGCAAAAGCAGGTGCTTAAACAACTAAGCTAACTGGCAGGCCCTCAAATTTGAGGAATTTTTTTCTTTTTTTTTTTTTTGTGACTTCCTGGTGCTTTAAGGGCAGGTCTGGTGCAGCTTCTGGAGCTGGGACTCGAACTGCCCTATTATACTCCTGACTGCATTTGCCCAAGCGGTGCTTTACACCACTGAGCTAACTGGCAAAGCCCCAAGGTAGGTTTGTTGGCTTACTAAAATGTATTTTCCTAGCGGGTACATTTCTCCTAGAATTTTAAAATTTCAGTCCTGGAACACAGTGGAGCCCCCAGAGCAGGTAGTTATAGAGGAGTTTTACATCAGATATTCATTTCAACTCCTAAAGCCGTGGTCAGTTGAAGAATATTGCTTTGCCTGTGTTGACTCTAACAACACAGTCTACTGAACTTTAAATAGACAGAGCTTATCCTGATAGAGTAGAAACTCGGCCAGTGGTATTTAGTGGGCAGCCATACTTTGGTAAAGTGAAGAGTAGAAGTGGAGAAATAAGGGTTCCCCAATCCGAATGCTGAAAGTACTACAGAGAGACTTCCACATACGACCTCCATATATGACAATTTTTACATAGTTCTTGTTCTAGAAAGTAGGATCAAAACAATGGAAAGCAATTTTTAAGATCAAGCCATCTGTCTTAGTGACATGACCGTACGACCTCAGTTCATTTCCACTTCGTAGTAGGATGTATTTATTTGACAAATTAACATCAGGAATTCTATGTGCGTGTGTGTGTGTGCGTGTGTGTGTGTGTGTGGCCAGCTCAGCCCACCAGGGGGCGGGGCTGGCTGGCATGTGGTGCTGGGGGATTGAACCGCGGTCCCTGTGCTTTGCTAAGCTTGTTCTAATTAGGTGCTTTAGACCACTGAGCCATCTCACCAGCCCAACATCAGGAATTCTAGACCTGATTAGAAGAGTGTAAGTTTGAAGATGTTCACTTACGATTAATATAAATTTGACAATGAACAAGATAATCCCACATTATATACAAAAGACATTTGTGGACACACACCTCATGAGACTATGGAGGTACATAACTGACAGCACAGTGTTAATAAAAATCTACTGTTTTATGTTTTATGCTATGATTTATGGAAGTACATCAGTCTACAAAAATTAAATATGCTATATAACATTTTGTAATATCAATAAAATTAATGATAATACAAGTGTTAACTCCCAAGTAGCTTGAAGCAGTAACTAACACCAAGTGTCTAAAGCATAGAAGAACTTGGGTGACGAGGTTGTGTGGCTCACACCACGGCACGGCCTTGGGGTCACTTGACAGAATAGGCTATGTCTGATGGTCTGGGTTAGAATCTGGCTCTCCAACTCTACAGAGGTGTAGCTGGGCAATTTATGAGCTTCTCTGAGCTTTGGGCATCCATCTATGCAGTGCCAGTAAAGATACTATGTTTTAGTAGAGTTATTATGAAGATTTTAAGTCAGATATTACATAGAAGCACTTAGAACAGTGGCTGGCACGTAGCCCGTGCTCAGTGTTGGTTATTGTTGTTGTTATTATCCTGGCAGAAGACAGTCATGCCAGGGAAGCAGTGCCATCGGAGAGCCTGGACTTGCAGTCAGACAGAAATGAAGTCAGAAGTCAGCTTCCTCGCGTGCCAGGGATGGGACTTTGTGCATGTCACCTAATGCGCCTAACTCTGTATTTTCTCACCCGTGTTTAGAGAACAGCAATATAAACTTACATTGCAAGAGGGTTATGGGAACTAAAAAGACATAGAGGAGATCTTAACTGGCATGTAATGGGAACTCAGTAATAGCTACTTATTTCTATTTATTAAAAAAAACCATTTTCCTCTGAATCACTGATAAAATAGAAGAAAAAGTATAACAAAAAAAGTTTTGAATCTAAACTTAGCCTTAATTGCTGCCATTGTAGTGAAGCCTTAGTAAAATCTTAGAATTGATTTTCTTACCCTTGAGATAAACTTAAAAATCTCCAAGATGAGGTTCTTGAGAAAAAGCTAATGTTTCTTGTGAGATCAATATTATTTAAATTTTCTGTCCTGCTAAGCTCATAATTAAAAGAAAAGTGACACTTTCTCTCGGGGAAGACTTTCCTGCTGCCTGGCAAGAAAGGCTTTTCTCAATCATGAGATTCTAACAGCCACTGAATCTCAAGAACTGTGGTACCCAGACTGCAAAGATGCCCTTTTGCTGAAGCAGCTTTTTAAGGCCAAGGATGAGAAAGACAGGAGTCTCTAGTGAGAGTCCAAAAGGGGTGAATCCTGCCATCTCCATCTCTGAACTAGTCAGATGAAGGTTAAAGAAAAGAATGTGACCATTGTAATCTAGATAGCCATAATCTGCAAAATCCAATGTACTGAGAATTAATTTTTAAAGTTTGCATGTCTAAAGGGTGAAGTTCAAAACTGCAGACTTTATCTAATCTCTCTGAGCCAGAAAACAAAACAGCAACCCTTTGTACATCCGCTAGAACAAAGGAACAATGAGGCTGGGAAGTGCCTGGGCTGTGCGAACCTGCCTGGAAACACACACTTCAAACCCCATTTCTACAGCGATAAAGCCCTTTGCTGGCTGAGGTCCACGATTGCTACGCATGCTGCAAAAAAGTTAAATATTTTTAAGACTTCTTTTAACTTTAAACCCAGGGGAAACCTGTTGTCTTAAAAAATTTGAAATATTTCATTGGGTAGAAATTAGGTATTTTTATTGGAATGCAAATTTCGTGTGTGTATGTGTGTGTGTGAATGTATTTCATGTCCATTTGTGTTTTTGTGTGTGAGAGACAGATTTAATGGTACTTGAAAATTAAGTTACGTGTCCATAAATTTCCCATCGTGCATACCAGAAAACCCTACTTCTGTAATTTGCACTAATGGCTGGGTGCATCACTGCGTGTATGTGTGCATTTGTAGCCTTTCTAATTTTTCTATTCATCATTCTTATTGTCATAGAACCCAATAAAGTATAAAATAAGAGGACTATCAAAAGCCATAAAGCAGCACCTTCATCTTAATCAGTTTATCAAAACTTATCATTAACCATGTATTTAAGACACCTTTGTTATTCTTGGTTCCAGAGAGACCCAACTATGGAACAACAATGTAAAATTTGGTGGCATTTATCTTATGTGCTTGAATGGCTCTACCAACATCAGGAATCACCTAAGTTTCACAAATAGATTTGAGGTTAATCTAACTTTTCTGTTTTCCAAGAAAAAGAAAAAACTGAGCAAAATTGCTAAACCAAAATAAAAATTTTTTTAAACATGTGACTAAAACGAGGAAAAAATTTATAATGTAAATAACACTTACTTTTAATTTTTATAGAGCATTAAATATTAGTATTTCTTGATACCAGTATTTCTATATTGTTTAGATTTGAAATCATTAAATTCATTTTAAAAACACATTCAAACTTATAATAAGAGTGCAGCCAACTTATGGGCTGGTGGCAAAATTTTTTTCTTGAAGTGATTTTAGGCTCCCTACTGTATCTCCTTTTTAATTAATTAATTATTTGGTACAGGGTCTTACTGTGCAGCTCAGACTCATAATGATCCTCCTGGCTCAGCCTCCC